CTTGTTCGGGGTTTTGAGGCCGTTTGCTTGTGGGTGCAACGCTTCCAGGAAGAGGGCTGGTAGGCTCCTTAATATACAGTCAGGGATTTATGGAGGATTGCTGGGTTTTTTTAGATTGCATTTTGGTAGTTTTTTAGGGGGCTTAATATATGGTTTGAGTTTCTATTCCTCCCACTCGTATGCCGCGAAGTGTGAAGCACATGTGTGGATAACAAGAGTAGCGAGGCTACATGTTTAGAGTTCGGGCTTGAGGGCTAAACTCCAAAATCTTACATCCTCGGCTGGAAAGAAAGAGGCCTGAACAGAACCCCCATGCGCTAAACTTTCAAACCCTAAACTGACATCTGCACCTGGTCCTGCCAGGACCTATACTCGCTCAGCATGAGCGTGTCGAGCTTGTCATCGAAGGTCGCTCTGCAGGAATACGGATTCAGTGACGAAGAGCGCTCCTATTCCTCCTAGTTTTACTTGCTGCTGCTGCTGCTGCTGCGACACTCCTACAACAACCACAACTACTACGACGACGACTACTACGACTACTACGACAACACCGACTACGACGACTACTACGACTACTAACTACTACGACTACGACGACGACTACGACTGCTACTACGACCACTACTGCCACTATTACTGCTACTATCACATTGTGCTGGGAAACGAAGCCCGCTCTTTGGGACCAAGATTTTGCCCATCTTCCCCATTTTGGTCAATCTTGCAATCTTGCCCCGTTTGCACCTCTTGAACCACTTGGACCACTTGCACCGCTTGAACCACTTGCACCACCTGAACTACTTGCGCCACTTGCATCTTTTCACGAAGAGAAATGGTGCAAGTGGCCCGAGTGACTCAAGTGGCGCAAGCGGTTCGAGTAGTGCAAGTGGTCCAAGTGGTGCAAGTGCTCAAGCAGTGCAGGTGGTGCAATTGATGCAAGTGGTTTTTGGGCAAGCTTGCAAGATTTGCGTGCCAATTTTGACATCCCCATGACCAAAAACAAGATTAGCAAGATTGACGCGTACGTTCTTGGTCGGATATCGGACTTCTTTTCCCGTGTCACTCTACTAGTACTAGTACTACTACTACTACTACTACTACTACTACTACTACTACTACTACTACTACTCCTGCTGCTACTACTACTACTACTGCTGCTGCTACTACTACTACTACTACTACTACTGCTCCTCACGCTGGGCTCGCTTTTGCGTTACCTCGCTCGTACTACTCGACGGCCATTATGGAGAATCCCCTTGCGTGCCCCGCAGCTGCACCGGTGCCGCCGACACCACCACATGTGAGTGATGAGGCATATGATGCTGTGATCGATGGGGCTTGCGGTGTAAATCATGTGCAGGATGTAAAGAACAACATCGATTCTTTCCTCTATGGACTAGTGCAGCAGTCTTTTTGATCTTTTGCTATCGTTGGCCTACGTCTTCAACAAAGTTGCAAGGCTGACGATGTGGGTAGAGGTAGGGTGAGCTAGTTGATGAGGAGGTGTAGTGCAAAGCATTGCGGTCATCAGCAAACGCCGGGACTGTGTCCTGACACCATCGCTAGGCTGCGACACGAACTCCGGAGCAGCGAGTGCAATGCAATACTGGCAATACTACTGCTCCTGCTCCTGCTCTTGCTGCATCTTGCTGCTACTGCTAGTGTAGCGGGTCTTTGCCAGAAAAGGCACCCCACAAAGTTCGCTTTCTTCGGTAAAACGTGGTTCAGGTTAAAAGGAGGACTCACTGCAGTCCAGCCATGGCACTCAGGGCACTTCGAACTCTTTACACCCGCGGCAAACTGACAGCACCTAGGCGCTTTTGTGCACAGCCTAGGAAGAAGTTAAGCTGTCGCTGGTTTCCGCCGACCATGGTCCTTGCAGATTCCACTGCATGTCAATGTCTGGACTCTCAGAGCCATCCGCTGCCGGCAACACAAGGTTCCTGCTAAATCAGCTCCACTGGTCTTACCTATACAAAGAGGGGGTCGCAGGGCATCAACACCGCTCCTTGGTGCCATTGTCAAGTGAGCACCATCTACGCTGATCTTGTGACCTCTCTTTGACCCGGCATGCACTTAGCACACACATCCTTTTGAATAGACTTCGTCGAGCGGTTCAGTGTGCTGCACTCTCTCGTAGAGTGTACGCAGGTTCCAGAGGGTGTGGTATATATTACATTCGGCATTTCCTTGAGCAGTTCCACTTGCACTCCCACTTCACGAGTGCTCCGAGTGCTCGTAGGCCCGCCATAAACCTCCGGTTCTGCCGGGGGTCGTTGCTCATGCCAACGTGTGGGCCGCTCCTCGAAAAACGGTTGAGAGCGTTCTTGTACATGAGCACTTCCCCGAGCACGTGCCATCCGCCTCATCTGAAGGAACTCTTCATCTGCTGCGCTTGACTCCGGTACAGGAGGAGGTGGAGGCGGCGGCGGCGAGCTCCCAGAGAAACCGCCGCTCGCGCCATAGTCCACAGAACCCCTCGCCTTATCCCGGGCAAGGATCCTCGTAAGATCCACTCCAGCTCGGTCCGCCAGCTCCTGAAGTAGGATCCCTCATCGGGATCCAGCTCACCGGGATCTCTGTGCAGAAGGGAGTTTAGCTTTCGCATCTCCTTCTTGGACATCTTTTGCTCCACCTGCATAGCATGCATCCTTGCAGACTCAGCTCGGCTATAACAGCTTCGGCCTCTTTCCCACAAAGCCACTGCGCAAAGCACCATCATCAGGACCACGCCATACAACTCCAGTGAAGAATCTACAGCAAGGGGAGAGTGGTCTTCGGGATCTTCCCTTTTACCCATAACCGAAGCATGTTCTGTAGCACTACAACTAAACCCATACAACAACCCAGGTTTGTCGTGCTTGTTGTTGCTGTTGTTGTAGTGTTGGCTTGCTGCTGCTGGATCGATGCTGCTGCTTGAAGTTGCCGAAGTCGTCCTCCATCATCTTCACCTTCAGGTAGTTCCAGATCCATCCCATTTGGGCCCAGTCCCCACCTCCTCATGAGCATTTGCATTCTCCTGGCTGCCAGAATCTTCGTCAAGCCATCAGCCAGCTGAAGCTCTCCAGGGCAGTGGGAGATTGCGATCCACCCTTCTTGGATCCGTTGACGGAGCGCAGCTGGGGCACGGATGTGCGCCTGCGGGGGCGTGCTTCTGTATTATTCCTGGATGTGACAGGGTGGTCAATAGCAATCGGCATCACAAGTGTTGCTCAGGATGTCCCAGGGGCTACCACACAAGGCGGTGTCAGCGCACCTTTTTGGGGATCAACCGACTTTGGTCCAGCTTTGCATGACGAGTAGATGCGACTTACTGGTAAGGCGAGGTCATACCACTTGCTGCAGCACTTGCTGGAGCAGTGCCGGTGGACTCCACACGGTGTGATGTGCCATTCGCCAGATTCGTGTGGTCCCAATGTCATTGGCGCGTTTCGACACTGCTGACACGCAGGGCCCGTCAGCAGGATCGGAGCGCGCCGACATGCAGGTTCATGCCGTTGGGAACGCAACGGCAGCGAATGACGTGAACGAGGCCAGTGTCGACTTCGAGGCCAGCTGTGGATGTGTACAGACCCTCATCGATCTTTCGACCATGGATTAACTTCCAGTACTGCTGATGACACAGGCAGCATTGCAGCTGCCAGCGGAAGGATCACTGTTGATAGAGGTGTTGGAGCTAGATTAGTGAAAAGGATCCTCAGAAGAAGCATGCGGCCTGGAGCCGCCGAGCTTAACTAAAGGCGAAGCTTGCCTTGTCGTCTATCATCGCGGATCGGTGAGACGTTCGCAATGCAATGCAATACTTCTGATGCTGCCACTGCCACTGCCATTGCCACTGCCACTACCACTACCTCTACCGCTATCGCTACCACTACCATTACCGCTACCACGACGACGACGACTACTGGTACGTCTACTCGTGCTACTGCTGCTGCTGCTACTACTACTTTACAGCTACTACCAGCTCTACTACTTTTGCTATGCCCGTCCTCGATTCCTCGATTAATGGGGAGAGCCGCTCAAGTAGTTCTTATCATCTTCTTCTTCGCCTTCATCACTATCACCGTTTCATTCGTCATCATTCGAAGCAGCATTGTGAGAGCGTTGCAAGAACCTTAGCCTGCAAATGTGCTTTTCCATAATCTGTGCCGCTCCTAACAAAGGCTCTCAATGCACACTCAAGCCAACACCGAAGCGGAATGGAGGCAAGCTCCAAACACTGAACCTTTCACCTTAACCCCAAAAATACCTGAATCCTGAAGGCCTATAAACCTTAAAGCTTAAAGCCGTAGACCCTACACATCCCTAAACCGTAAAGCCGAATCTGAGGCTGAGCAGGCCGAGATGGCTGCCCAGGATCGCTTGAGGCCTTCACAGGGGGTCGGTGTTTAGGGGTTTCTAGGGCCGAAGCAGATCATGGGTTTAAATCACGATGTTTATGGCTTGCGGCTCGGCTTGCTCAAACCACAAAGAAGCCGGAGACTTCCCCTCGTTCCTTTCAGGCGAGAGAAACACACGTTGCTCCTCCACGTGCTTGCGACCCGGACCGAACAGCATGCTGCTCTGGCGGCCACGTAGGTGCAGTTTCAATTGTCGTTGTTGATTATACATATATGTATATATATGTATATATGTATTATACTTTTATGAATATACATATATGTTAGATCATATCCACACATGTATGTCGGTTACAACAGACCCTCTCTCTCTCTCTCTCCCTTGTATCTCTTCTTCCGGCTCCTGATGTGTGTGCCTGTATGTCTCTAGGCAATGTTGCACCATGTAAAAAACATTATGTATACTGTATATGTATGTATGTATGTATATATATATATATACATATTCATTGGTTTATCAAGCTGGGTCTTTGATGCCATGCCCCCGCTCAGGACTTGTACGGTGATGAGAAGGACCGACCATGAGTGCAAGAATGCACCAATTTGGGGGTTTGGGTGGAGATCTCGACTGTTTTCCTGCAGCAGGACAGCTGTGGAGTCGGAATGGTAGCAGACATCACAGGTGCGCCATCCAGATTGGGCCGACGATTCATGAGCCGTCATGTGCTAGGTGTCGATATGGGTCTAATATAGTCTTGATAACTGATAATGAATACTTTTGGGAACTGTTGAAATCGACACCGAGTGATGTTGAGTCCAGACCTCGACTGTTGACAGGCGCGCCGTCTCGGACAATTGTCGACAGAGCTCTGCAGGCACTTCGACAGTACAATAAGCGATGTACAACCAAGACTGCGCAATTTGTTCAAGCCTGTGCAGAGAACAGGTGCTGGATGACGGAGGTGCTCGTGGCTGTGAGAAGGACACCGGTGCTGCTTCCTGGTGCTCATGTCAATTTCGTTTGGCTTTCAGCAAGCTCTGAGTTGTGTCCCTTCCCAGGACACTGGCGACGGTGCTGGCATTTTGTGTGGCATTCCCGATCGATTCATGCGGCGTGTTGCGGCGGATTTGTCGGTAGATCTGCCACCTCCTCGTGAGCAGCATGGTTCGAACCGAGTGCGGAACACATTGTGCTGCCAAAGCAATTTTCGCACTAATTCCCTCCAGCATAGTTGTGGTGCAGTTTCCAGCTTGGATTCCATGCCGCTCGAGTTAGACAGCACGCAGCAAGGTATGCGGTTGGCAACGTCTTTCTTGACCGTTGCTGCGGCCTGAGTAGGGAAGGGCAGAACAAGATTTTTCATGAAGCCCGGCAGAGCCCGAGCTCAGCTGCAAAGTGCGTAGATGTAACTCAGGCGAAGATGGAACTGCAGAAGGCAAAAGGATCTTCGAGAAGCTGCTTGGCGCAGTTAGCCCGCCGGAGTAGTGCTGGATTGTGTTGGAGCAGTCACTGGAGCTTTCGTCCAGTAGAGTGTGCACGTTTATTGTCTTGCCGAAGCACAAAGAGTGTGTGTGTGTGTGTGTGTGTGTATGTGTTGCTCGCCCTTCCTTTCTTTCTTTCTTTCTCTGTTGATCGCCGTTTCCCTCCGTTGCTCTCCTGCTCCTCTGCGAGCGACCGCATATATATATATATACATACATATACATATACATATACATATACATATACATATACATATACATATACATATACATATACATATACATATACATATACATATACATATACATATACATATACATATACATATACATATACATATATATATATATATATATATATTGCAGCCGACACCAAGGGTATTGGCTTCCATTGATGGTCTCCGCATGATCACTTGGCGCCGGGTACCGGTTGAATCGGATTGCCTGGGCAAGGCTGACACTTGCTTGCACCTCAGCTGTTTTCCCGTTGTGCTGCCCGATGGTACGGAAGTCGCTGAAGTCATCAATCATTGACTTCAGCTTGATTGAGTGTGCTGTCTTGGGGAGACGACTCACGGCCGTTGCCCCCTTGTCATGATGTGCTGCTTGAATGCTGGGGCTCGCCTTTAATGGACAAGCATGGAGAAACCGAAAATCCGAGTTTTACTGCAGCACTGACTCTAGTTCCTGATGCAGGCCACGGATCACGAGCCGACCATCGAACAAGCGTTCATTGCTGCCGAAGGCAGCTCGTGGGCGGTTCAGTTCGGATTATCGGAGAAGTTCTTCCCTTCCTTTCGCTTCGTTTCAGGCGAGTTGAAGAAGGATGTCAAGAAATTCGAAGCAGCTCTTTTCGTTCTCCGGAAGCGCGCCGCCAACCTGGCTGCTCAACAGCCTGGCCTTCCCTTCTACGCATCTGGGCCTAAATAAACGAAAGCGCGAAAGCACTCTGCTACATTCTTCTCCAAAGGCTTACCAGCCATCTGCCCCTCCACAAAAGGCCATGGATTGAGCGGTGTGAGACAGGTCTGCTCGCTGTCTCCGAGAATCATCAACTACAAGGGCATGCTCACATGTCCAGGCGGTGCAGTTGGGGAAGCGGCTGCTAGCTGTAGTTCCGGATTGTCGTTGAAGAAGCTTACGCACAGGACTCGTCAGATATTTCCGTGACCTGCAAGAGCATGACTTCGAGTCTCACGTCGCGATCCTCGACTTTGCAGCAAATTGAACTGTAAAGGCGTCTACCAAAAGAGGTGTTTCTTATTGGTTATCTTCGGTGTCTTTTCCGACCTGCGACATCTGTTTCTATCGCAAGTTTTCTCCCACAAGCCTTTGTCACCCCCAAGGCTGGTTCAAAGCGGATTCTCCACCAACACCCTTCCTGCGTGGAGACGCGCACATCCATTCCGCCACATTTGCCACAATGGTGAAATCAAAACGCTCAAAGGCAAGCCGTCGATTGCAACTGGTGTTTTGAGGTGAGACTTGCTTGGAGTGTAGACTGGTTCGGTGGGGTTTGTCAAGTTTAGCCTGATACAGAATGGATGCTACTGTGTTGCCATTTTTTGTATTTTTCTGCACGAGTCTCCACTGACAGCAAGCAGACTAAGTCGGGTATGCAGTACATAGAAAGTTCTACTGAGTCTACTGCAGAGGACCGTCCACGTCTGAACTTGAGAAGGCTGCCTGTTCTCAAGCAGTGCTTACACCCAGCGGTGCGTGCAGGAAATGTGAACTTTGCTCGAGCACGTGAAGGATTGATGAAATCCGAGCTTCTGGGGCCTCAGCTGGAACAATGCTTTCCTTTGCTGGAGCTGGTCACATCCTCAGATGCAGATTCGGATGCAGAATTCCAGTAATATGCAAAACCCTCACCTTAGGGATGCAAATCCTTGCCTCTGGTTTGAATGCCGTTGCAGTGGGTTGCGGCTTGTCAGCAGGTTGAGGACTTGCGCCGGAATGCCATCCCCTAAACCCTCCAGAACAGCAGGCCCACCACCAGGAGCGGCAAGCGACATCCAAGGCAAGCTGCAGTCGCCGTTTTAGGGTTTGGGGTGTACCGTTCAGGGTCTAGGATGTAAGGCTCACGGGTCTAGGTCCCTAGGTTTATTGAGAACAGGCCTCGGCCCCGGCTTTCTCACTCAGGGTCTGGAGAGTGTGTGCGGCGCAGGTCGCGGATCACCCGACAGTCCTGCTCGAGCGGAGCGACCCCAAGCCCGAGAGCAAGGCAAATAGTTCAGGCAGGGGAGAAGGAGTTCGACTCCGCTGCGGTGGAGGACCGCGCAATCATGTCGTAGAGTTCGCCGAGGGATCTGGGCAACAGGAGAGCGTCGCCAAAGCCATTGCAGCGCTAACCTTCAATCACAACCTGCCTCCGTCATACGTCCAGTGCGCAGCCAAATGCCTTGGATTTTGGTTACAATCCAAAGAGCCGCTCTGGGACAATCATGGTCACTGCTTGGAGGTACTTCTTGAGTCAGGAGCCTCAGCTGTGGAAAGCGCAGCAGGACCGGTGATCGGGCGTCCCTCGTTATGCTTTCGCGGTGCAGCTAGGACTGGATATTTCTAATCTCAACCCGAGCTTTTCGTGAGAGAAGACTAGCGCCATCAACAGCATTTGACAGCTTCGTGTCGAAACATCATGCTTGAGGAAGCACTGCTGCGAGCACATTCGTACATTTTGAAAAAAGTCAACAGTACATATGATCCCCAGAGGAGCATGTCCAGTTCTTTACTCGTACCTACGGGCTCACAGACTGGCCGTAGACCGCAAGTGAGTAAACTGCTAGTAGTGAGTCTGCCAACATGCAAGACGCTTTTCACAGATAGCTCCGATCAGATTTCTTCACAGACTTGACTTCCCTTGGAGTTGCTCCGTGAGAGTTGCACAGAGCCGCCCAAAATAAACCGCATGCCAACTTTCCTTCGTCCTTTTAAACCTCGAAAGTCAACAAAAGGGAGAACGTCACCGGCCGACGACAAAGCACTGTGCCATTCAATGCTTCACTGTCTTCGCAGGACTCTGATCACGAGCACGTCTACCGTCCCGGCCTTGTTCAGCTCACTGGCGGGCCTACAAAGGTAAGCCCAGAACCACCGAAGCCTGGTTCAGCTGAGTGCTGAGGTTCGGTCCTCGAACGAGTCCAGCGAGGGCTCCGCGAGGACGGGGCCAGGCCCGGCACGAAGAGGTCCTCAGAGTTTCTTGCGTTGCCAGGATCCGCTACCGAACGTAGACCTGAATCCCAGCCCGGAGGACAGCGGGGTCCCCGGTGAGACGTTATGAGCCGTACAGCGCTGGGAAGCTCCTTGGATCTCTGAATACACGGGTTGCACAAGGGATTTCCATGCGGAGGGAATGCACTGCCCCCAGACGGTCCGGGTGAAGTCCCCAATCGAAGCTCAGGCTCAAGGAATGTTCACATGAAGTTAGCATGAAGCCCGTGAATCGGGATCGGCTTTTCTTTAAAGTCAGGGATGGAGCGTTTTCCGAAGCTCGGAAGGCTCTGGAGGGAGCCAAAATAGAGTGGAAGCATTCCTCTCTGGAGCAGAACTTTCTCTTCTTCGCGGCAGCCCGAGTACGCCCTGGGTCCGAACAGCTGGCGAAGCTGTGTGTAAAGATGGGGGTAGATCTGGCAGAGACAGACAAGCACCAGCAGACTCCACTCTTCTATGCTGCATCGAGAGGGAATGCCACAATGGTGACATTTTTGCTGAATCTGGGGTTCGAGCCGAACTTCCAGGATAACATCAAAGAAACGCCAATTTTTTACGCAGTTAGGCATGGACACAAGGAGATAACGAGCCTGCTTATAGAACGGGGAGCATCCCTAGACGTAGTTTCGACCGCTGGCCTCAGCCCACGGAACATGTTGTCCGACTCCCAGCCAGACATGCTCCAGACGACACGAAAGCGGAAAGCAGCTGACTCGCCAGATGTCTCATGCCCGGGTGCCTCCGCAAGATCTCTATTGACCAAGTGGGAGTGGGGGCAGGACGAGGAGGAGGAGCCACAGGACGAGAAGGAGCCCGTCCTCGAGAAGGCTAGCGTCGACATCGTAGCCGAGAACGACGAGTACTATGTATGTGCAGCTGTCCACAACTGTGCGAAGCGCCTACGACGCTCCGAAAGGGAATTTGCGGGCGACCATGCCCATCTGCACACGGGGCATCCTTGGTATGGAGAGTTACAGTTGAAAGATGCTTCAAGCTTAGTCGGTGTCCCACTGGTCTTAACGAACAACCGGCTGGCAGCCATTGAGAATCTGGCAAGTGGCAAATGCACAAATCAGTTCACATTGGCTGCGGTGTCGGCGAGCACAAACACTATAGCAGGATACGTTTTTGCCTCTTTTACAACTGACGTGCTGGACATTGGGCATTGCAAAGTCGATCGATCACATCAAGGGAAAGGTTTGGGTGGTCTGTTGCTCCAAGCGGCAGAGACAAATGCGAGAAACAAGGGCTCCGACCACTCCACGGTCAAGCTCTCGGTATTGGAGACGAACGAGGCCGCAATCAAATGTTACTGCAAGGCGGGCTTCAAAACGACTGAAACCAGCCCTTCGAGCTTCCCTCCCACAGCGTGCACGAAAATTCAGTGGCTGCGCATGGAGAAGGGCGTGTCTTGAATTTCTTCGCAGGGTTTCAGTTTCATGATATGTTTCACTGCAACATCGTCAACGGACGAAGATCGGCAGGAGCTGTGTAGAAAGAAGGTGCAATCTCGGATGTGTCGCAGGGTACCGATGTGGCGTCCTTAACTGGTGTTGGAGTGGACGACTTGGCAGGTCTGCGAAACTTGCAGACAGCTGCAGGGGCCTTGGATGAGAGCTGGAAGTAGCCTCTCAGTACATCTGTTTTGGAAGCATCCATGACTCTCAAGGTAGTCAGCTTGAAGGTGCGGGGGCTGCGTTTTGTAAGCTCGCCTGGAGATTGACTTGAGCTCACTTGAAGGAGGATGCAAGTGTGCAGCATCTGAGACCTGCATGGCCATTGCCGTTGCAGTTCCGTGGGCCACCGCAGGCCTCCGCCAATGCTGCTTACGGGACCACATCGACGAACAACGAGGATGCCGCATGCACAGCCTGAACGCTTCAAAAGCTGACTGACTGATCGATCCGATCTGGAGAGACACCTGGCAATAGCCTGTCGTAAGGTGGTCCGGCAGCGCAGAGGGGATTACACGACCATGAAGGTTCGGGCCCAGTCCAAATTTTGGTTTCGGTCGGAAGATCTGGGAAGGCCTGGTTCGGACCAGAAAACATCGACGAGGTCGGGTGCGTTTTGACAAGCAGCTATCCTTCAAGACAGTCGCTGTCGAGGACCCCTATGTCTTCAGGCGTGTTATGACCAACAAGCTCCCGATTGCTCAGCACAAGGCCAGCAGTTTGATCCTCAAGGATCACACTGCATCATTCTTCCTTGAAGCCGTTTTCATGCTAAGCTTACAGTCTGGTTGCCCCTGTCTTCTTGCAGACTGAAATCACGGAGCTCATCAGGGACAACCAAATCGTGCCCGGGCACCCGGTCGGATGCACTTGCCAAACATCAACGAGTGATGTGCATTCTGTTGGTGAGAGTTTCTGCCACGACTGCGCTGCGTGAATCGCAATGTCTGCCTCGTTACGATGCCAGGCTCATTCAGGGCGAGACGGGATGCGGCAAAACTACACAGGCACAGATGGCAGCCCGACATTTCCACAAAGCGGGCGGATGAATCCTAAGGCCTTAAGCCCCAAGCCGAATAAGTCCGTTGCCGTTGTCGTGCTGCAACTGGCAATGACTTTGATACATTCCAGCTGCCAGCTGCTAGATTCCTAAAAGTGCAGGTGCCGCAGTACATCTTGGAGGTGGGGTTCTTTTTGCATCAGGTGTCAGCGTGCCTGCTGAAGTACCACAAAGTACTCAGCCGTTGACCCGAGTTGTCTGCCAGGCAGCACTCCGCATGCAGGCAGAAGCCAAGAATGGCAAGGCACGGTGCAAACGGCTGCTGTCGGAGGGTACAGTTGCTAGAAGCACAGTTTTGTTTGGTTTATGCAGACGACCGGTTCTGATTCGCCGATGATTCGAACAAGGTGGTTTCGAGCAGGGGCAAGTGTGTGCAAGTGTTTTACTCTCGTTGAAGGGGATGTGTAAGTGGCAAACAAGGACGCTTCCAAAGGCCAGGCGTGGAGCTTTTTCGCAGCGTTGCACCAGGGAACAGACAATCGCCGGGTGGTGCGGATCGTCGTCACGCAGTCCGCAACTCGTTCGGAGACGATCCCTACAGCGTCTGCCTGTGCTCCATGGCGCCGTCGCTTGAGGCCTCGGCGGATTGCCGCCATCACCGTGGCGAAGCGCGTTGCCGAGGAGCTGGGCGAAAAGGCGCCCAAGACTGGCAGTGTTAGCCGGAGTTTGTGTTCGGTGGAAGGTGGGAGAAGGAGTCGTGGGCTACAAGATCCGCGGCACCACAGCCCGCCCGGCGTGGAATGTGTGAGACAGTGAGACCCCTGATCACCAGATGCACTTCGACGCTTCGCGGCAGGTTGCTTCTCAGGAAGCCCTGCCAAGTCGAGCGGCTCTGCGGGATTCATGTTGAGGGCTGAATAAGCCCCAAAATACGGTATAAAGTACCCTAAATAGTAGGATCCTAATTATAAGCACCCAAAATAAGGTATAAAGTTCCCTAAATCGCCCGGATTTGTCTCCCAAACAGCTTTGCGAAACACCTGCCACTTCAGACGCAATCCTGACTGTCTGCTCTACAGCCGGAACGGCAGCGCAAGAGGCGGCCGTTGTTCTGACTGTCTGACTGTCTGGATCAGTACTGCTTAAATACACTCAATTCAATCATTTCGACTCATACCCGGATGCCCAGAAACCCGCCTAATTCAAAAAATGACTCCCGAAATCTAATTTTTACTTTAGGGGGGGGCGTTTTAATATTAGGGGGAAGGGATTACAAGGCTTGGGAAGCTGGCTGCAACAGGAAAGAAGAATCCGCGCTTTGCGAATCTAACACTTCCAACCGCAGCACTTTCGCAGCCCTTCTCATGCTGCAAACACCGCTTTAAGACACCTGGGACCTGGGCCTTGCGGAGCGCTGCAAGCGCCGACACGTTGTCCTTCTCGGCTGCCTCTCTCACGGCCGTGATGTTGGTGGCCCCGGCCTAAGCAGGAAGCTGCAACAGGAAAGAAGAATCCGCGCTTTGCGAATCTAACACTTCCAACCGCAGCACTTTCGCAGCCCTTCTCATGCTGCAGACTCACAGGCACATAACAACGGTGGCACAGCTAACTCAAACGAGGAATCAAACAGGTAGACGAGTCTGCAACGGACCGTGGTAGTGCTTGCTCCTTGGCGCCAGCCTTGTCGCACCGCCATGAACATGTAAACACCCATGTAGGAGACACGAGTAACAGTACCAAAGGACAGGTAGAGACCATAGTATGTGAGGTTTAGGGTTTGGGGTTTAGGTTAGTCTCATATACGATTGCTCGCGGAGGCACATTTCGCATGTGACTTAGTCTCTTGAGGGCCACCCCACTGTCCTTTGAGCGAAAGCATGGCTCGGAGATACAAAAAAAGTCGGCTGCAGCGTCTTGCCAGGGCACTTTCGGGGGGGGGGCAGTGAGGGCATGAGGGCACCGTGCGGGCACCGAGCGAGGGCACCAGGTCCCCCCAGCGACGACGACAACGGCCACGGCCACACAGAGTAGCCACACCGAGTAGCCACGCGGAGTAGCCACACAGAGTAGCCACACCGAGTAGCCACACCGAGTAGCCACACAGAGTAGCCACGCGGAGTAGCCACGCGGAGTAGCCACACAGAGTAGCCACACCGAGTAGCCACGCGGAGTAGCCACGCGGAGTAGCCACACAGAGTAGCCACGCGGAGTAGCCACGCGGAGTAGCCACGCAGAGTAGCCACACCGAGTAGCCACGCGGAGTAGCCACACCGAGTAGCCACACCGAGTAGCCACGCGGAGTAGCCACACCGAGTAGCCACAAAGAGTAGCCACAGAGAGTAGCCACAGAGAGTAGCCACACCGAGTAGCCACACCGAGTAGCCACACCGAGTAGCCACACCGAGTAGCCACACCGAGTAGCCACAAAGAGTAGCCACAAAGAGTAGCCACGCAGAGTATCTCGCATAGCCCAGAAAACGCGAAAAAGCTGCGGCCTCTCTCTTGTGTAGCAGGGTGTTGGGCCCACAATCGATCAGCTAGAAGGAAGCTGATTCAAAATCGAAAGGGTGTTGAGCCTACAGCCTCGGGCCAAAAACGAAAGATCGATGGGGCTCAGGGCCGTAGGACGCAACGATCTTCGGCCTTTTAGCCCCAAAATTTAGGACGAGCGAATCGGAGCTCAACGATTGTGGACCCGAGCGGAGCGAACGAGCTCACGGAGCGAGCGGAGCGAACGAGGGAGCGGAGCGAGCGAGTGAGCGGAGAGAGCGGAGTCCTGAGTGAGAGAGTGAGGGTAGCGAGAGAGTCCACAATCGTTGAGCTCCGATTGCGAGGAAAATTTTGGGGCTAAAAGGCCGAAGATCGTTGCGTCCTACGGCCCTGAGCCCCATCGATCTTTCGTTTTTGGCCCGAGGCTGTAGGCTCAACACCCTTTCGATTTTGAATCAGCTTCCTTCTAGCTGATCGATTGTGGGCCCAACACCCTGCTACACAAGAGAGAGGCGGAGGGCACTGAAGAGCCTCTTGGGCCCCTCCTCTGTGGTCACGGAGGCGATGGAGCCCGAACCTCAGCGGGTTAGTGAACTCCAGTAGTCCAAAGACAGGAAACATGGAATCGATGACAGGATGAAACGGTCGTGCCGTGGTGGCGAAGCCAGAATTGCTTGTGTTTTGCGGGCCTTAAAATGGGGTCGCCCGACAGCCCCATAACTGTGCAGCTTTGAGATCGTACAAAGACAGGGAATTTTTCCAGAGGTGACTCTAGCATCTCTGAACAGAGCAGATCAAGCCATGCCATGCAGAGTTATGGTATCGAGAAGGTCGGCCGGAACAGATCATACAAGAGCGGCGGAATTTTCTGGAAGGCATCTCCACCAGATCTGAACAGGACTTCTTGAAGAGTTATGGTGTCGAGAGGTGCGGCTGACGGTTCGGAATTTGTGCACGGTGCTCAACTCCAAAACCCCTCATGCACGACATGGGCTCACCTGGCTCTTGCCAGATTTTTTTTGCTCTTTTAGCAGAGACCCATTTGTTACATTCCTTGCCTCTTGGTTGCATTTGCTGTTGCTGGAACGGCTGTTGCGTCCCCTCAAACAGTCCGAACTGCACTTTTCGCTGCCGGAAGTTGCGCCTCTACTCCAATTTCTTTTTGCTCTCTGAGTCTGTGCGAGCGTCAAATCGGGTTTTTTTTTAAAAAAAACTTTTGCAAGCAAACACCATTCTTTCCAATGCTTGGATTAGAAGATGATTGTGGCTACATCTTAATAAAAGGTATCAAGACCAATGAATTGCTTTTTTGGTTGCGTGTCTCTTTGCGCAGGTTGCATCCGCTGTCACAAACCTCGGCCTTCGGAGGTCTTGCGCCTCAGCACGGACGGACAACATCGCAACAGGCGCTTCAAGGGACTTTGTTGCTCAGCAAATTCCACCACATCTCCGCGCAACACAGATCCGTGCC